GTATTTAAATCTTTGAACATAATTAGAGATCAGACCATTCGCGGTTAATTATTCTTTATAAGAACGTTCTTATAAAGAACTGCCCTGGTCATGGTTTATTTTGTGCGCACACATTTGATTTTCACCTTGGGCTTTCTAATCCTGAGTCCTTCCGGAAAGATGATCAACGGCGTTGAGGACATGGTTCGGTTGAGTGTAGGTTGGTGTTGTTGGATGGCCAACGATTCTCGTATTTTTAATTTAAAACCATGTGGATCCTTGTCAATGATCTTCCAATTGGACCAGTCGATGCTGTGATTCGTTTGTTGTTGGTGCTCGTAGATTGCTGATCTGTGTTTGCGTGGTACAGCCGTGGCCGGTGATGAGTCTAAAGAAAGCGAATGAGTGTTCTTTGTTTTCAGGGAACGCAAGCGACTTGACCGTCTTAGATCTTTGGCTAGTGTAGGAGGTTCGACAGTTGTTGTGCCGGGTTGACATGGGTGTTTTGGTGCACCATGTTCGATATGTCGAGTGATGGCATGGCGGATTGTCTTTCCGATATACGTGGCGTCACAGTCCATGCATTGAATTTGGTAGACTAAATGTGACTGGAGATGTTTTTGTACAGGATCCTTTCGAGGCAATTGTTGTTGGACTGAAGGTGGTGGTCGTGGAATCGGTTGAAGCTTTATGTCCGGTCGGGTTTGTTTGACGAAATTGATTAACTTTTTTCCTAGAACGATAGAAGGTCTGCCTACAAAAGGAATGTCAATGAGCAAAACGTTTTTCTTGGCGAGTGTAGCGGCTGATGCTTGGTCGTGTGTGGTTGTTGTGGCCGATGAGATGATAACAGGTGATGAAGCCATTGTGGAGTTGTTTAGTGGGTCACGTGTCCTATTTAAGAAATATTTATTGAGCGTAGTGCCGATTTGTTCTTCGATAAACTTAACTGGATATCCGTTTGCCAACGCAATGGAGGTGATGGTTTTGAATTCCTTGTCCAAAAGAGGATAGGATGAGCAAATCCTGATTGCACGATATGCCATAGAAGAGATCACGCTCCTTTTGTATTGTATTGGTATAAAGGATGTGAACTTCGTTAGAAGTCCGGTAAACGTCGGCTTCCTGTACACACTTGTTTCGAAAAATGAGTGTGTAGTGGGTGTAGGAATTGATAGGCGTGTGATGTTTATATCTAGAAAAGATAAAGAACCAGCTGACTCTGATTCCATTGTGAACTGAATTGATGAGTGGAAAGAATTCAAAATATTGAGCAGAGTTTGTGGGTTGGTGTTTTCTTCGATTATCGCGAACGTGTCGTCCACATATCGACGCCAAAAGATGAGACCATTTTGATTCAATTCGTCCATGAGTTGTTTTTCTAAATGAACAAGAAAAATATCCGCGAGCAACGGCCCGAGAGGGCTACCCATGGCAACTCCATTATGTTGGATATAGTTGTTACCGTTGAATGAGAAGTGTGTGCCTTTCGTGGCGATGTCTAAAAGCCATTTTAGGTTGATTTTGTTCTGGCAGTTGTTGCACTGATCCATGGTTCTTTTCTTATTACGGTCGTTCTTGATGCAATCGCAATGGTTACCGTATATTTGTTCAATAATGAGACCAATTGTGTAATCCAACGGGACATTTGTAAATAAGCTGGTGACGTCGAACGATACTATTTTGTGTTTGGACATGTCGATGGCGAGACTGTGTAACTGATCTACAAAAGAAAAAGTATCAGATATTACTGTGTGATGTGTACGAAGGTGAGTTAGACGGTTAACGAGCATTTTAGCGACCCCGTAATTGAATGTGCCAGTGGCTGACAAGATGGGACACAGAGGAATACCGTCCTTGTGGGTCTTGGGCAGGCCGTATAAACGCGCTGGCTGTGATCCAACTCTCCGGCAAATGCTGTATTCTTCGTTGGACAGGAAACCAGAGGCCTTCAATGCAAGGAGTTTTCGATGAAGTTTGGCTTCTTCCTTGATTGTGGGATCAGCATCTAAAGGGCGAAAAGTATTAGTGTCATTTACTATTTCATTCATTTTAGATAAGTAGTCTGAATGGTCCAAAATGACAACTCCTCGGCCTTTGTCTGGTTTAGTGATGTGAATGGTTTTGTCATTTCGAAGATTTCGGACGGCGTTGAGCATTCTGTTGGCGTTTCGATCTGTTGTTTGTCTAGAAGAGTCAAAACAAAATTTATCGCAGATTTTACGAAGTTTCGTAGCTGATTGGAGTTGGATAGGTGTTAAATTGTAGGTGGTGGCTTCGTCAGCGTCTTTTTCTTCGTAGTCCGGTCTGTTGGTGCAGTGACCTAAAATATTCACAAAACAAGTTTCGATATTACTGATAAAGGAGGGCATGTTGATTTTCTTATTTGGATAAACATAGTCTAGACCATTTGAGAGTGCTAGAAATTCGTCTTTGCTTAGTTGTTTGTTGGATAAGTTCTTGATTGGTTCAATGTTATACGGTGTTGGTGGTGAGTTTCGGCCAGTTATATGTTTGTTTCGAGTCACTTGTACTTGAGCACGTTTTTGTGCTCGAGTTCGTGCAAGGTCCAATTTGCCTTGGTGTCCATTTGTCCATTCTTCAGTTTTGGATGTAACGCGTTCATTCGCGATCCTAAGAACACGAGAGAAAATAAGAGAGTTTATATTAATTGAGAGATCAGCCTTGAGGCGGGCCGAACGACGATACGCATAAGTTAGTTCTTTCTTCTTTTTGTTGATTTCATTCCTCAGGATTTGATGATAACACTTGGTGATAATCGATTCGTGGCGGTTGTATGATTTCGCGTAGTGGAAACATACAAAATTAGGAAGAAGATTCTCCTTTTTGCATTGCTTGAGAAATTTCAAATCACACTTGAGTTTGTTGAGTTTAAGTTGAGATTTGACGTAATGGAAAGCAAGGTTTGAAGCATAATCCCCGTAGTGCTGCCTGATGTATAGACTATATGATCGATGATTAACGGGTAGTAATTTTGTAATAAAGAGAAGTGATTTTACAGCAGCGAAAAACATTGTTTATTTATGTATTGAAAGTCGACGTTTCGACTCAAGTAGAGTCATTGTCAAGACAGAGAAAAGATAATGTAGAGAAAAGTATTTAAATCTTTGAACATAATTAGAGATCAGACCATTAGAGGTTAATTATTCTTTATAAGAACGTTCTTATAAAGAATAATTAACCTCTAATGGTCTGATCTCTAATTATGTTCAAAGATTTAAATACTTTTCTCTACATTATCTTTTCTCTGTCTTGACAATGACTCTACTTGAGTCGAAACGTCGACTTTCAATACATAAATAAACAATGTTTTTCGCTGCNCAAGTACGAAGTTTGCGCTTTGCTAAGATCGATATGCAGAGATTTGTGTAAAATTTTGTATAGATTTGATTGTAAGTAAATATTAAAATATATATTATTAACTATAGTCTGATCTCTGAGAAATGGTATGTTTTATTTTGGGTAATATGCGAAGCCGAAGACTGAAAATTGATATAGATCGACTTCTTTATTATTTTCAGTCATTTAAGGCAGCGTGATGTATTCTTTCCAACTATTCTATTAGATTGGGCTGATCGACTCAAGTAATAATAGACTTATAGACTTTTTAAAGAGATATCAAAGGAGAACAAACTGATTTCAACAGCTGAAATCAATTCGAAATAATGTGGAATCGCAAATTCATGAAATCAACTTGTTCTCCTTTGATTGATACTCTGTATGACAAGAGACTCTCATTGAATGCTTCGTATTTCTAAGAATACGAGCTAAACGTTTTTCGATTAATAGCTCAGAGTGTAGGAGGTAGATAATAAGTGGCTTGTAGCACAATACTTGATTCAAAATCAGTGACTAGAGAGGCTCATAGAGCTGGAAAATACATTTGTCTGCAGGGCACCTGTAGTTACGGAACAATCAGTCTTTTAGATTTCCATAGTTTTTCCTACGTTATGAAGAAAACTCAGCTAGGTTAATAGACTGCTGAATAGTATTTAGACGGTCTCACATCCATATACCAATGGCTGACCATTATCTCTTGTTACCGAAATGAAATAGACATTTTTCGTAATGCATGTGCGAGGGGAGGTTATAATTTTGGTATACCTTGTATCTACAGCAAATAGAAAAATTAACGTAATGTAAGATGTTAAACTAACATAGTCATTTCGATTTTGGAGAGGCGTACTCCTATGATGTAATCAACTTTCTGTAATCTAACCGTGCATATACGATCAATTGTCGCCGATTTGCAGGTATCGAATGAACGGTTATATTACGGAAAGTGTTATCCTTTTGAATCCGTAAACCCCTCCCCGTATTAGAAGCCCCAGAGAGCTTCTCAGCTGTTTGTTGTTAAAATTTTTTTAGGGGGGCTTCTAATATAACTTTTCCGTAAAATTTCCTAAAAGCCATAAGAAAGCTTTCGTTTCAATTGTATTGACTCTTTTATTAGAATAAGTTCAACTAGTTATCCAAAATCCTATTACCAAAATATAGGTACAAACGCTTGTTTAGTTATCATTTACACAAAAAACGCAAAAAAAAGAAACTTGAGATAAATAAACTTAGTTCCATTACTTCTTCCAAAAGCGTTTGTAACAATGGGTGGTAATGGTGCAAGATGCTCTGCAATTTGATACATAACTAATGGTAAGAACACTTCAAATAAAAGATACCTTAATTGAACGATATATGAATGTCGCCGTCGAAATATGCTTGTACATATACGTTGGCCTCCATACTCAGATTCAGGCCAAACTTAGATCGATCCGATATTGACGTGGATCCGAGTATGGGCGCTAATGTATATGTCTTTTCAGTGCGTCTTTCTCTTTCAAAAAGTTAAAGTAACAAACATCAATATACGTATATGACTGATTGTTATGTATTTATTTCGTTATTCTTAAATAAGATTAAAACATAGCTTTGTCATACACATTGATGTTTAATTGAAATCGAGCTCCAACATTGAACTGTTTTTATTCTACAAACATACAATGGAATGTAGGATAATGAAAAAGATAAAAGAAAAATATACACTAATTTTATAAAGCACATTGTGCTTAGCACAATGTACAATGAGCATCCGTTCATGTTTTATAGATGGTCACAAGAAAGTTGATTGATTTTGAAAAATTTTTAAATCTTGGACTTAATATAGGCCCATGGGCTTCTAGTATGGGGAGAGGTTTAGTTTCTATGTGTAAAGTTCGTGATCTTCTCGTTAAATGTATATTAAATGTTTTTCAATTTAACCCTGATATGCATCTGAAGCACTCCGATGAATTTTGAGCAAAAGTAGAAAGGGAAAAAGACAAATTATTACGGTTTTGCTAACCTTGGTCTTCCAGGCAAAGTTGTCGAAATGAGCTACTTGGAATGAATATTATTAAGTTTTTGTCTAGTGCTCCGAAAAGAATGACTATCACACAAGTCAAGCTCTGATAGATAGAATTCAGAGAACCTTCGTCGGAAGCGTTTTTCTCATTGAGCAGAACTTTTAAGAAGTCGATTTGTCACTTGAAAGCAAACCCATATTATCAAAACTCGAATTCTGCAATTTTTGTTTAGAGTATACTATAAAGTGAAAACATAATTTACCAGTGTTGAATGCCGTCGATAAAAACTAATAATTTCAATAAGCAGAAGACCAAGTTACAGGAATACGATGAGTATCCAGATGAATACGCTTGCGTTTTTGTCAATAATCTTTGTCTCCCGGCATATGTAACTGAGGATACTATGAAATTTTGCAAACAAATTGTTCCTAGAGTAGGCGACATCTGTTTTGTTCACTATCCAAAGTCGGGTGGAACTTGGCTTTCTTACATACTAAGTTTTCTCATAAATGCTGGTGTTACCCCAACAGAAGACTTCTTAAGCAATCAAATTATTTGGCCTGAAGCACGTCATTTCACAAATCAGGAATTGGAACAATTTAATTCACCTCGTATCTTTAAATCTTGTCTGCCATACGCACATGCGATCGCTGGCGGACCGTCTCCGAGAAATCCACTGAAATACATCTATATTGCACGTAATCCAAAAGATGTAGCAGTTTCATACTATTTATGGGAGTTTGATAAACCATGGACAAATTATAAAGGAACATGGGATCAGTGGTTTAACCGATTTATTAATGGTCATGTTCAACGTGGCGACTGGTTTGATCATATACTTGGATGGTATGAGCAGTCCGAGACATGCCCAAATAATTTATTATTTATATGGTACGAGGATTTATGTCTTAACTTTTCCGCAACAGTCGAAAAGATTATACATTTCTTAGAATTAAAATTAACTACTGACATTAAAACGCTAATTAGTGAAACTCAAAAAGGAACAGAATTTATTTGTATGAAGAAACGGAACAATTTAGTTTCCTATTTAAAAAGCGATTTCCAATATCACAATGTTGTTAACAATACATTCTTCCGTGAAGGCAAAATTGGTTCATGGAAAAAATATTTTACGACGCAGCAGAATGAGCAATTCGACGAAATATTTTTTAAACGAACGAAAAATAAGAACCTCTCCAATATCGTTTTTGACTCCGATACAACAAAAGCTGAAGCTATCGACTGACATTTTATTCTCAGCGATTTTAAAACGCATATATTAGAAAGAACTCATTTTTTGTCTTTTTTCTTTCATCCAAATCACTATAATAGATAGCAAGCGATTCTTATACTATGGAAGAGAATCTTTTCTTCAATTAACCAAAACATCAACCATAATATATGATAGGTAGCTAGTTAATTTAGTAAACTTGCAATAATGATCTTTGATAACTGATAGGAATTTCTATATAAGAATCTTCAACACTTGTCGATAACAGATCGTAGTGGGCAAACATGGAGCCAGTCTTATCTTTTCGGACGGATAAAAAAAGATGAAAACTGGTCGATCAGAACAAATAACTTTACTAATGTGAGAGCACTACATTGATGCATCAATTATGAGTGTATTATGGCAAACCTTTTACGTCAGTCTGTTTCATCCTTTCACGTTTTCAATAGTGATACTTTCTGTTTTAGTCTACCACATTGTAGACGCCGGTGTTAAAAATAATCTTACAAATGTCCAGTTACATTCAAAACAGAATATGTACACTATTTTAGAGTAATAGACGAATTGAACGAAGAGATATAGAGCAGTTCCTATTAAAATTCCTGAATAACATATCTTCATACGTAAGTATTTCAATCGTTGTGTGGCAATAATTGCTAGCACGACCTTTGGAACAGAATCTACTTTTCCTGATATTTTCTCATGAAAGGACGAGTTGTAATATAGTCATTATTAAGATTCAGCAAGATTGACTTAAAATAGATGAGAAAAACGAAAGAATTGAACTCAAAATTTTAGGGAGACATATTTCTCAGAAGTTCGGTATTTGTATACAGGGTATGTCAAAATTATAGACCACCCTCACACAGTCATACAAACTGGTTCATTTGATTTCAGCAACAGCTAATAACGAATAGCTTATGGCATGTGGGTGTGAGACCGTATGTGCACTATCCACTAGACGATTGTCCTATTTCGATTTCCTTCATAGTCGGCAAAAAATTGCAAAACTGAAAACTTCCTGTTTCATAACTATAGACCCCCTAGTCAGTAGTCCAGTTNTGGAGTTACTTTTGGCCGCACTCGTATTATCTTAATAAGTGACATCTATTAGAGTGGTTTTGACCACATCAGTGTCATGATAAAAGTATCTACAAATGAACTGTTACAAGAGCCTATGGACACTTAGATACTATAAAAGCTTCAAGTGATATGGCGTGAATGCTTTCCGAATAACAACTCGAAACATATGGGATGGAAAGTATTTGGTCTATACCAAAGAAATAAGTCAACAGCCAACGATCTAACAGGCTCAGAAAATCTCGAACTGGACTACTGACTAGGGGGTCTATAATTATGAAACAGTAAGTTTTCATAGTTTTTCAATTTTTTCCCGACTATGAGGGAAATCGAAATAGGACAATCGTCTAGTAGATAGTGTACATACGGTCTCGCACCCACATGCCATAAGCTATTCGTTATTAGCTGTTGCTGAAATCAAATGAACCAGTTTGTATGACTGTGTGAGGGTGGTCTATAATTTTGACATACCCTGTATACACGATGTGACTTTCGCTGTTCCTGTAAACCGTGAAGATCAACATTCTCCTGCAGTGTGATAAGCCACAGTATTTATGGAAAAAGTTGTTCGCGAGAAGTGAACAAAGTTTTATTTTATTTCGGAAAGAACATTATAAACGAGTTGAAACTAGCTTTCGCAAGTTCAGATGAAATTCAATTCCATTTTAACAATTTAGAAGTGATTAGATAGGCAATAAAATGCGATACACTAAAATTCTTATTTGCGACAACTGAGAGATTATAGTATTAGAAGTTATGTTGCGTAGTGAACATTTGATAATAATTTCCGCACTGTTGTATTAATTCTTTATGCGTACCAATTTCTACAATATGACCCTTGTCAAGTACACAAATAAAGTCACAGGAGCGAATAGTTGATAGACGATGGGCAACAATAATCGATGTTCTTGTAGGATCTTCTACTTGAACTTCTTCAAGGGTTTCTTGTATAACCTAGAGTACAAACGGCTGTTTTGTAATACTGTAGAAAAGATGTGAAATAGGTCACTTGTTCATTATGTGAGTCCATCGCACTTGTTGGCTCATCGAATAATAAGACTTTGGGTTGACGAAGAAGAGCTCGAGCAATACTGATACGTTGCTTTTCACCACCTGATAAAAGGCAACCTTTGTTTCCTACATTTGTATTATAACCCTAAACAAAAGATAAGTTAATAAACCAAAGATATTCACTAAAATTTGTCACTTGTGGTAATTGCTGAATGAATTCATGAATGTTCGCTTTTTTTGCGGCATTAATAATGTCATCCATTGGAATATTTTCTAATCCGTACGTTATATTTTCGGCAATTGTTAAATCAAATAAAATTGGCTGTTGACTAACAAGACCGAAATGAGAACGAATCCATTGAAGATTTAATTTTCGAATATCAACGCCATCAATAAGCTAACGGAAATGAATCTGTTGTAATTAAACCTTGAAAGAAATATATGTACTAACTAGTTGACCGTGTGTTACATCATAAAAACGTTCTAACAATTGAATAATCGTTGTTTTCCCACATCCGTATGTCCCTAAATTGAATATTTTTTGTAATTAATATTAAGAGATATTTGAATGATTTGATGACGTACCAACAAGAGCAACACGTTGACCTTATAATTAAAGAAAAATGAAGAAGAACTTCGTATGAATGAATGGCTAGTTTATTTACCTGGTTTGATAGTTAACTGAAATTTATTCAAAATAAGAGCTGTTGGTCGAGTTGGATATGCAAACTTCACTTGTTCGAATTGTATTTCTCCTCGAAAAGTTTCCTAAACAGCTCAAATATTGATATCGGAAAGGAAACTTTGACACAATATTCTTTTACTAATTGTTGTCCTTCGCTTGATGCATTATCAATACATGGTGTGCGGTCAAATAAGTCAAAAAAATCTTGAGCAGCTGATATTGATGAACCAATACGGCTAGAACTGAATTAAGGGCAATCAGATAAGAAATTAAACAAAAATTTGAGTATTTTACAGGGTTCCGACAATTACTAATGACTCTGTCATGAACATGGTAAACGCAACGACCCTTAAAAAAACCAACATGCTATAAATACGTAGACTACTCGGCTTGTTTGTTCACATACATTATAACATGATGTTGATTTAATTTGTTATTTTCAATAAGTATAATAGATAACCAATATATAAGTAATAGCATTAATGGGGCTGCTGCCCAGTGTATACCAGTTACTATCCCGACGAGGAATTCAAATTTATAAGACATTCTAAAATAGGAACTTTGTATATATAATATGTATGAAATTTTTGATTAGTCTAACAGTGATGCTTTACGAATCATAGCGGAGTATTGTCGTAAAATTTCCTTTTCTACACACAACTGTTTTACTGTACGGATATTCTGAAGTGTCTCAACGGCGAGCTAAAGAAAAGAAAGTGTATAATAAGTGGCGAACTTAGGAAGATAGCTAAGCGATTTTACTGTGCTTGCTTGTTCTATGATAGCGTCGTATCTATTTTCCAATACAACTTGAAGATATATAAATAAAAAAGTGATACTGGTGACTAGAATCATTAGGAAAAATGCGATAAGTGTCAATTGCCAGCTGAAGAAGAGGCCAAATAAAAGACCGAAGCCAACAATGGCAACAGCCTCACAAATAACACCTAATCTCACACCACTCATATCTTGAATGGCGGCGGCTTTCGAAGAAAGACGAGTAGATATAGCACCACAACTATTCTCGGGCCGATCAAAATATGCAACTTCTTGACGAAGAAGACAAGCAAAAGCTTTTGCGCGAATGCGTTGTGTTAATTTCGATCCTGATATAGCAAAAGCTGTAAACTGTAGAAAGAGAAAAGAAGCAATCATTAGAGAAATTTTGACAGAATATTTTTACTTGAAAGAAACGAATAATCAATAGAGCAATGCCCAAAAGTAGAAAAATGGAGCTTGATATTAATATTTGATGAAAGTTTTGCAAGGGATCACAACTATTGAATGACTGGAGCAAAAATAAATTCGGTACGATGATTCTTCATAAGAATCAATTATTTACTTTAATTATCTTAGTTAATAAAATTGCGTATAATGGTTCACACAATCCACTAAGTAAACTGAATACGCATCCCACTAAAATAGTTGCCCATTCTGATTTATTCATTGCTAATAAGCGTAAAAAAACGAATTGTCTTTTTGCCGATACGAAATTGTCCTAAAGTAGTTCACAGAGATTTCATTTTAACAGATAATTATATAAAGATTTTAAAATACTTTGTCCATGTTCACAAGTTCACTTTCACTCAACAAGCGATGATATTCGGCTGTTTAAGAGAAAGAATCAATAATTATCTTTAATATTAAAATCACAACATACTCCTTTGCTTTTGATCTTCTTCCGTAGCTCCACTCATAATTAAATTATTATCTTTATTATTATCATTGTCTGTCAACCTTTGAATTTGCTGTTTTTTAACCGTTCTTTGATATGTTCCTTCTTTTTTCATCAATGTTTCATGAGTTCCTTCTTCAATCACACGTCCTTTGTCTAATACATATATTTTATCAGCATTTTGAATTGTTGTCAAGCGATGAGCAATAATAATAGTTGTCCGATCTATAACATATAATATAATTGAAATAATTAATAATAAAGAGTGTAATTTCACTTTTGCGTGCTCGATCAAGAGCTTCTTGAACAATTTTTTCACTAACAGTATCAAGTGCACTTGTTGCTTCGTCTAATAAAAGTATTGAAGGTTGTTTGACAAGAGCACGTGCCAATGCAATACATTGTCTTTCGCCACCACTCAATTGAATACCATGTTCACCAACAAGGGTGTCATATTTCTAAATAATTATTTATCTTTAAATAGTTAAAATAATATATGCTCGATTACATACATTCGATAGTTTCATAATGAAATGGTGTGCATTGGCTTGTTTTGCTGCTTCTTCTATTTCTTTACGTGTTGCATTTAATTTACCAAGACGAATATTTTCATAAATCGTCATGCCAAACAAAGTCTATTTCATTATAGTGTTGATCATAAATAAGTAAAAAAAATCAAGTATCTTACAGCTTCTTGATCAACAATTCCGATATTTTCTCGGACTTGATTAATTTTGTAATTTGTGATTGATCGATCATTGATCGTAATTTCACCGGATGATGGTTCATAGAATCGAAGAAGGAGGGACATACATGAACTTTTTCCTAATTACAATATTATGAATCTGTAAGTGCAAATGGTTTCGAAGAAATTTACCTGAGCCACTTGAACCGACAAGAGCCGTCGTTCGATTCGCACGTGCAGTAAGACTAAGATTATGCAACGCTGTGATATCTGTTCGAGATGGATATACCAAATTAATATTCTTGAATTGAATGTCACCAATAAAATTAGGAACTGAATCTTCATCTAAGAGATTTTCTTCTAATACACCTTTCTCATTTACATTTTCTTCGCGTTCCTATATTAAACAAAACTTAGAACAAAAAGGATCATTTTCTCAATACTACTTCATCAATCAATTGAAATACAGATACAGCAGCACCTTGGCCTTCTGTTACTGACTGAAAGCATACACCAACTGAAGTAAAATATGTTATACACTGTGCAAACAAGATAACAATCTACATAAGAATAAAATTTTTAACAAATCTGCTGTTTATATTTATGCTGAAAATGATTTGCCTTAATATTGTCAGCAATATTCAATTCATTTCTTCCATATAATATAAGTAAAGAACCAAAGATAAAACCAATTGCATAAACTATGTAAGTTCCCAGAGATAAGACGCCGGTAAATATACCAAATATAGCACCCTTTCGAGTGCTACTCCAACGATTTGGATCTAATTCGTTCTCATATCTAAATAGAACAACGCCATAATACATCATTGTCATATAGATGCTCTTACCGTTGTTGTTCAAATTTCGCCCCATTGAGTGAGAAAACAGTTCGCACTGAATTTATTACTTCTTGAACAATATGCTCAGCTGTTGAATATGTTTGTAATTCGATTTCAGTTTCATTAGAGACAAGCTATACTTATTTTATGAAAAAATTGGCTATAATAAACAGAAATCCATACTTTGGAAGTTATCAAAGAACTGCCAACAATAACAGGAATAGTAAAGAGTAAAATCGATGATAGTTTCCAATTGATACTGAGACATATAACCACACCGCAAGGGATATTGAGCAGTGTTACAATCATTATCAAGAAATCATAACCAATTCCTTTCTGAATTGTTTTAATATTTCTATAAACAAAAGAATCACTTAATTTTTGTATTTAATACCTAAAGTAAGAAAATAGCTCACTGGAATAGTTTTGTATTAAACTGACTCCTTCGATTTTCATCAAAATACGGTATATTCTAAAACACGAACGAAAAATGAATAGTTTCATAAGTTTCCTAAAAAAAACAACCATTTCGGACATTATTCGAAGTCGCTTTATCCTGTAAGTTTCGGTCAGTTATATTGATAGTAGTGAAAGCAACTTTAAATTATATTCCTCTGAGGTGACACAACTCTCAAAAATTTTACTATAAATCTCGAAAATAATGCAACGTAGAAAATTTGTTAATTTTGCAAACTAATTCCTTTCCATCTCATAGATACAAAAGTTCCTTCTATATATGTATATACAAGTACGCTCGATGGGATTTAACTCAAGCCTTTCTCAAAAGCAGTGAAGTAAGAACATCCGGACAAACAATTTATTATTGCATGACTTTTCTCCATGAAAAAGAGAATATGCTTGTTCATCTTCAATTGGCGCCTTCGCCCATATGTTTGTTTATATTTTTATTTAATGTACCAAAAGTTCTCTTCTCTTACAAATATTGAACGAAGAATGCGTACAAGGGGAGAAGCTGATTGCTAGCGGCTGCCATTCTTTGTTCCGTATTTGATGGAAAATTCATGTATTTCAGAAAATACATATTGTTTGCATTACTAGTCATTGTGAGAATCGATATTTTCTTAGACTAGAACAAACAAAAGACTTCTTGGTAACCGTGATTGTTGATAATTACTCTCGCTATTTTGACTATCATGTAATGAGCTCATGCTGCACCAATGAACTTATGTTTGATTATTAATGATTACTTCACATGCAGTCAGCATTTTATTCTTTGGGTGCAAAAGTGAACCCTATCGGTTTCCAGAAAGGTACACCTACGAAACCTTTTTGATGGGTTTGGTAGAACACCTTATTTTTTTTCAGTGTAGCGGTCCAGAGCTTCCAAGAGACATCTTCAACAAAATGGATTGGTACATTTCGGTTATATAAGCAATGTGTAAGTGTACATTTATCACCAAGAAATTGTACTAAGTACATTCAGATCAATTCATAACTAGGCTGCTCAACTCGAAAAGACTGGATTACATTAAATTCATTGATAGAAGATTGAAGTTCATCTCAATTTCATTTGTAAATTATGGAAATGTCTTGCTGTTGAGCCCAATTTAAGTCATGAATGGACTGGTCCTCAGCAAAAATATATAGTTTCAATGCGTAGAAATGGAAAAATTTCATTAGACAACAGAGTGAAGCATTATTAAAGCCTACCCTCTACTCCTCCACTAGAAATTTTTTTTTGCCTTAAAACATTCAATCTTGACGAAACTTTCAAGATAGATATATCTTGGAATAAGTGGCTCATGATAGAAATTTTTGCCTGAAATCTTGATTCTTTAAAAATATAATCGAAGATTAAAGCTGAAGGACTAGATATTCGTGCGTCAAAGAGTTCTCTGCCATTTTAAAGTTGCAAAGTCTCGACTTCTTTTTGAATCATTGTTCATACTTGATACATAAAATGACACTATTTTGTTGAGTTTCCAAAATCTGTCTAACTGTTTATAATTCAACTCTGATGTACACTTTCTGTGTGTGAACAAAGACAACGCTATTACAAAAGAATGTAGCTTTAAGCATTCGTGCGTACAATGTGTCATCTGTAAAAAGATCTACAGGATCAAAATTTTCCATATATTTATACCATTCGAAAGAGAAAAAGCGCTTCCATTTGGTATATAAATAGAATTTAACACCATCAATAAGGGTGTATTGATGTTCCAGATAGGCAGCACATACTATATCCATAAAATGATCTAATCATAGTGGCATTTTGAGTTAAGAAAGATCAACAAAGCTTCAATAAAAAGACTTCAATCGATCAAAAAGTTAGTTCTGGAACTGAAAATTATCATTTTTAACATGGAAAACATGGATTCAGGAGGAAGGCAGATTCCTTCGCTTATCTTTCTTCGCTCTTTGAAATTAGCGTAAATAGCAATGTTTTCTATAAGAATTCGATGCAAATATTCGTATTCATTATTTCTTATTCTCGATGTGTGATCATATCTTTTACCAATAGTCATTGCTGCACATAAAAGCGAGGATAGCTCTCCTTTATTTTGAAATAATGATTCGGATTAATCATATTCTAATATCAGATAAATCGGATTGGTCGATGAAAATAAAACTTCATCCATGTATAAATTGAATTAAGTCTTATGTCTTCCATTCATTTTTAACATTTTAAAAGCGGCTTTAATCTCATTTTTCCCTATAGTGGAAGTTGTAACAAATTTTCAAAACGATAAAAGTTAAGAAAACTTGCAAAAAGTTGAAATGGTTGTAACTTGAGTTGTAACGCTTAACTAGTATCGAGAGAGAAAACACGGATTCCGCGTGCTCGGATTCTGCGGACTTTATGGATGCCTTGTGATTTTATGCAATCTATTGCTATAGGTATCTAGCATTCAGTAGGATTCGCTTCTGTTGTCTTTGCTAACGCTGAAGTGGCACAAATTACATTTCAAAATATTCGTCCAGTCTTTACGCACGATGAACAGAAAGTTATACATATTCTCATTTATAGAATCGAGACAATAGATGATAATAACTGGAAAAGGGCTACAACCACGATCAAAGGTTATAATTACGGTTAAACGTCATAACTAAAATAAATTTTTGGCCAAAAATTTGATCAGTAAGAGCGTCACCAGGTTTAACTTCTACTATGTTTTTCCTGAATATTTTTGCACGAATCACCGCGATCTATTGACGAAATGATTTTAGAAAATCAAGAAAAAGAGAAATGTAAAGCTTGCAACTAATTTTCATCGATGGTTTTTAATAGATCGTGGATCTTAATAAGTACTCGGCCAAATAAGATATTTATGAGAAGAATTTTACGAACTCGACAAAAACGCAGCGTTCAGCAAATTTCTCACTTGCTTTGATTATATATATTCATTAGAACTATCGCTTTTGTGTCCTACACGGAAAATAATAATAAAAAACTTCCATATCAAAAATAGTGTTCTTCTTTTTTATAATTATCAGTAATTTATGTATTCAGAATACTAGAATATTCCAATCAAAAAATCAATAACGAAATATTACTCAATAAAATTGATATACAATAGATAATATTATATGCATGTTCATTTTCTGGTAATAGCCTGATAGAAATTTTTGCATAAAAAGAGTGAATAACAAAAGAATGCGCAGCACAAAACAGAATGAGAACTTTCTCCATGTGACTGATCTCTATTTCTTAAAAAAAGAAGATTTTAAAAAAAGCTGTTGATGCCTTTTTAACGTGTCAAATTGCAAATGAAATAATGTAAGAACCAACACTGTATAATTTTCCAAAAAAAGTGGCTAGATTTCGAAATCTAGCAGGTGGAACCCGTCCGAGACTGGTTCTTGGAGTTTTCAGAACGGTTATGTAATTCGAGAGCAAGACCTAAACAAGATTTCTGCATTCAGTTTTGCACGAGCAATCTAAAGTCGTACGTATAAGATCGAAAACTGAATTAGTGAGGAAAAACCGTACTCTTTGAAATACTAGGATTTCTCTAAAATCTCTAGACATTTTCAGTATTTTGAGTTTTTTATTAAAGAAAATTTGGAGATCGAAAAATAAGGTAATATTTCTGATCAGCATCAAATACAGAATTGAAGCAACCGTGTTTGAAGAAAAAAAGCAGCTGCTATAATTTTGCATTATTCGTCGCTTTACTTAAATCGATGTTTTCTTTTACTTTTATACTAAGCTAGGATCGAGTGCGGTGCTTATGCTTTATATAATCGTTGTTTTCCATACGCTGTCGTGGCTTCAGACTTGTTGTAGTGGCTATGTTTCATTGCGTCTGATACAGATGGTTACTGAAAAGTGATCGACTTTTTTTGAGGGTCAAAAACGTTTTTCACCGATGAAGTGATAAATTCTCGCGTTCTCTATTGCCACTATCAATCCCGATGGATTGTTTGTTTCGGCGTAAAATGGAAATATCGGACGTTTTAATCGAAACACATGGTAAAGCGAACAAAAATGATTTTATAATAATATTTTGCTAATATTTTTAGATTGGCTAAAACTTTTGATTGAATATAGATTTAAAAACCACCTTCCTTCTAGGATATTTCGTACGAATCGCTGAAAAATTATAGAAAAACGATTTTGACACGTATCGATGAGTGGGCCCATATTTTAGCGGTTTGGAGTTTAAGATGTGATGCGGCCGAAAGGAAGCTTTGATCAGGTATTTAACTCATTACTACCTATAACTTAACAGCAGTAATCCTATTCCACAATGTTGAACATTTGGAAATCAGTTTCGTATCGGAAATCGATTCCTTCAATTCCTGAATTTTCTCTATCTACAAGTCTAATGAATTCCGGAATTAAATCGGATAATTGCGCAGAATTCCTCTCAATTCCTGAATTCCGTTCAGAAATTCGGCCGTGCAAGGCAATGAAATACGTGAGGGTGAAGGGAGCGGGTGTAATTCCGCATATGAAATTCAGTTGATTATGCAGGAGGATAGAAGGCTCTTGTGCCAGCAACAATGCAATTGCGGAATAGGATGTATTCTCTAACGTAAGAAAATAGCTCGATCCGAGATGTAACACTTTCACGCTCATCTGGTTTTCTCACACATATACTCTCAGAAAATCGCTGAATATGTGTTAAAAATCAATAGCTAAAACTAACATTCGTTTAATACAACGTGAAATTTTACTTACACGTTGAAGAAGTGATTTAAATAGTAAAATGTTCATGCGAGTAGTTTGCCGCTTTATAGCTATTGACCAAATGAAATATTGCAGTGACACAGATAAAAACGTAACTATTGTAGTGACTATAATAATATTAAGAGATCATAATTTAATCTCTTTCAATTGACTTACCTAGCAACCAGTGAACTATGGGCATCAGTTTTTGTCGAAGCGAAGATACCACTAAAAGTTTTGTAGGTGTAATAGTCGTATTATGAAATTGATAAAATCTACTAAGTATAAAGTAATACTGAAATCAATAGGATTATTTAATTAATTACGTATATAATTGATCATAATTTAATGAATCTGGTCGAGTTACAGGAGGACAAATACTATTATAATTGCTGGCTAAGATTGTTAAATTTTGAAGTCGGTCAGCCCAGTTAGTATTAAATGACTCAGTAACAAAAACTCCAGTGGCTATAGCAAAAAGAACCGAAGTACCCAGAATACAAATCACATTTAATAAAACAAAAACAGCACAGATTATCATAAGTAGGATTGAGATACCATCACTATGTCGAAACTGTTCCAATAAATAATCTTTCATTTATCAGTCATACAACATATTATTTGAATACGTACCATCTGCATGATGCTAACATGATGATCTTCATGTTCATTTTTGACTTTGTCATTTAACTTTTTATAGTTATCATTATTCTTCCCTCCATTAAAAGATTGACACCACTCTACAAAACTGTATAAATCATGACAAAGTTGCTTTTACCGTTTCCTTATATATTTATACCTGTTATTTTCCGCTTCTTTGATCTTTTTATCACCATCATCATTATGAGACAACTTAGATGCTGATTTCAACAGAGGTTGTTTCTCGTCCATTTGTGCTTATTTTCAAGTAAACTTCTGCAACATAATAAAAGACATCTCAATCTATTCCACATTTATAGAATATAATTAATTAGGAAATGCTTGATTCTATCCGTTAGTTATGTAATGGGTGGGCCATAAATAATGAGGGTGTTAGCATTTTGATCATAACTTTTTACGTCTTCAATGTTTAGAGCGGCTTGTTCCATGAGATGATGCGTCTTGAAATTCTCTACAAAATCATAATTAACTTCAATTTTATAGGATGCTAGGGAAATGCTTTAAGTGAATATTACTGGCAACACAAAATGTACCTAGCTTTCAAAAATCGAAGAGGTTCTTTCAGTAGTCAGTCTGTTGTATATCATTTTCGAATATCGTGTATGTGTTCTTGGAATACGAGTGCGGTATAAGATGCAGCATGAAAATCTCTACAAGGTGCATTACCAATTTTCGTCTAAACATAGACTTTTAATTTTTATATCGAAGTACAATTTATTTTCAATTTTGCAAGAAACATAATAATTTGATCACATAGGATTTTGCATAATTTAAAAACATTTTATCTGTTCGTATAGAACAACGTCCTATGTAGATTGTAGAGCTTTTCACGGCGCATCTTATGGTATATGTAGATTCATTTTCTTACAAGACATTAGGTAAAACAAGATGAAATAAGAACTTTGATATATTATATGAAGTTACATCACACCAAACTCAAAAGTTTAGCGCATATATTTGAAAC